TAGGGAGTGAGTGAGTATGATATGTGTAAGCGTGTGTATTGCTGTAGGTGTGTGTTATCATTTGGCTCATTAGGGAGTGAGTGAGTATGGTGTGTGTACGTGTGTATAATCGTGTGGGTGAGTGTATAAGTGTGAGGCCTCCATTCCTCCTTAAGCATGTCTGTCTTGTGTGGGTGAGAAATGTGGGTAGGTTTTGATTTGTTGATTGTTACTATTATATGTTGTTAAATTTATGATTTAGCCCGGCTGGGTATTGTGTTTTTAGACGTTGTATCCACTTATTTTCATGGGACTCTAAAATCTTTCTAATGTTATCTGCTCTGAACTTTTCTATTCTCTCAATTATAGTGAATCTGGCATGGGTTTTGAAATCGTGTTTTTCTAGGCGGAAATGTTGTTCTACAGGTAATAACTGTTCATAGGGAGTCGATTTAATTCGCTTACGATAATTATTAATTCTGTAGGCCATTCAGATTTTCCTACATATTGTTTCTGGCATAGTGTGCATTCTAGGAGGTAAATTATGTTTTGACTTCTACAGTTAGAATCGTGGTAGATTTTGAAAGTAGATTTAGTGATTGAGCTAGTGAATGAATTCGTGTTTTAATATGGTTGCAACATAAACTTCTTTTGTTGTTATATGGTTGGGAAAATCCTGTTGTTTTTGTTCTCAGTTTCTTACGGATTACCTTGTCCCCTGAAATGTGGTTACTACCTATGATTTCTTTTTAGGTTCTTAGGTCTACGATATGCAAGAAGGCCGGGTTCCTTAAACAGTTTTTTTAGGTCTGGTTTGAGATGTAGTATTTCCCAGCGACGTTTGATTATTTGGGATAGTGGAGGCAGAGTGGGATTGAAAGTGGTTACTAGAGGGATGCGGCTAGATTTATTTTTAATCTTGTATATTAGGGTGTCTTCTCTAGGTGTGGAAATTGCTTTATTTATTTGTTCCCTGATTAGGTGTTGTTTATAGCCACGTGTTGTGAATTGATATCTGTGTCTTTATGCATGTCCCTGTCTCTGTACCTACTGCTACTCATTATCTATCTGTCAATCTGTTCTCTATCTATCCATCTATCTTAGTCTGTTATCTATCTATCTATCTATCTATCTCAACAGTTATAACAAATGATCTCATAACTTTAACCATAAAGAATATTTTTAAGAACTTCTCTTATAGTCTTTGTCAAAGAATTTTGACTACAAAAGTTTATACTAAAACATTATGAAGGTATTACAAATTTTGTCAATACTTAAACATGCAGCAGGGATGAATTTTTTTTTAATCCTTATTTAAAGTCAGAGATCTAATATAATTGATTGATTGTTTTTTACAGCTTATCAACCTGTTGCCAGTTATTTAAAGCCATAAAAATTTTGAGATTGTAAGAATTGTTTGGAAATAATAATGATTTATGCATACAGATCTTATTAATTAACCCATAGCTGGAGGGAAAGAGGTAAATTCCTACCTTTCCTAAGGGTATTTGCACGTAAGTAAATATAATGAACCCAACGGGAATTGGAACTTGGATCTCCAATTTCAAGTTATTATCCATTACGCCACCAAAACATCCAAGCTTACAGCACCTGGTATTCCCAAGAGGTCATCCATCTAGGTATTGACCAAGTAGAGGCCTAATATGAGAATGCATGCATAGTGCAGATCAGTGGGAAATGGTGTTTGTGTGTGCATATATATATATATATATATATATATGTATTTGTAAGAAAAGACAAAAGAAAAATATTTTATGCTAATGAGTTCTGTCCCTTGAAGAACTTTGAGAGCAAAAATTTTATTTGGTAATCTGTATTTGTACATGTTAAGTTTTGAAATTTTGAATAAGAGATTCATCTAAAATATTTAAAAAATTTATTGCCTAAGGAAGGCTGAACTATAAAGGACACTAAGTAACATAACTTTTTGGCCTATTAAGTGATAGTGAGTTAATGTTGTTATTCAATTTTCGGGGAATTAATATTTATTTATTTTTATTTATATATCTTTAATTGATTCATCAACCATTAAAGGTCAGGAGTTAGATGTTTTCTTTTAATTTAAATTTTTTTTTTGTGTGTGTATTTATATGTGTGGATATATATATATATATATATATATATATATATATATATATATATATATAGGAGGCATGGTGGAGTAATGGATAGCGGCTTGGATTGAGGAATTGGAGAGCCGAGTTTGAATTCCAGTCGAATCCATTACATTCACTTACATGCTAATACCCTTGGGAAAGGTATGAATCCTCTTCTCCCTCCAGCTATGGGTAAATAGCAGGACAGACCGGGTTCTATAGCCTTGGATGGCAACTGGTCTAGGAGAAGGAAAATTCTGAATTCAAAACCTGCGGAGGGTCGTTTGGGGACCTTGTGGCATGTAGTGCACCAGGTCTCTGTAATCGGCCCTTCAAAAAGTGTGGATGGTCCTGCACGAAACCTTCACCACTATAATCAACTCTCATGTGCTGTTGTCGGGCTGTCAGTTTCCTGGGAACTGATTTGCTTGACCCTCATATTTCGAATTCGACAGGAGAGTCGAGTATATATATATATATATATATACACCAAGACTGATTTGCTAAAAAATGAAAAAATACCCCTAACTTAATAAAAAATAATTTTGCCATCAAAATCTTTGTTATTATTAAAAGGAAAGATCAAAGGATTTTTTATTATGAAATTATATTTTTTTCATCCTTTTTGAAATGTTCAAAATTTTGTTTAAAAATCCTGTTTGTATTTGTGTCAACTGGGATGGGGGAACAATGATTAGGATAAGAAATTTTAACGTCTTTTTGCAGTGAAAAACACCTTGATTTGGAAATTCTTGCAAAAATCAAATAATTAGGTTGGCTTAAAATTCCCACATAGTCAAGCGGGTTGTAAATGATTTTATCTGTACTTGAAGCACTAGTGTTTTATGACAACCAACAGGAAAATCAATCCCTTCTATCCACAAGAAATAAATGAAAACCTTTGGGATCAAGTGCCATTTGCCCAAAAGGTAGGGAATTCTGGTTGTGAGCTTATATAGTCAGCCACAGTTAGGATAATTTTTTGTTTGTTTGTTTGTTCACCCAATACAAGCCAAATGAGCCACTCAAGATAGAGGGTTACTGAGTGAGATTGTTGTAAGGGAGGGGAAGTAAGAAGTGTATATTATAAGGACATGTTGGATAGATATCAGTTGACTATTGATTTGAAAAAAAAACAGGATTTTAGTTATTAGGGAAGCATCCACTTGGGAAATTGTTCCACATGGTAACAGTTCTGGGGAAGAAGCTATCCGAGTGAACTTGCCTCTTATTAAAGGAACTCAAACAGAATGGGGATGATTTGCTGTCATGAGAATGGCATGGCAGGTCCTAGCCATGAAGGTCGAGTCAAAAGTTAAAATTTGAGAGTGGCAAACTATATGTTGTGATGTAGAGTCTTTTTTTTTAATCAATTCACCCCAAGCAAGGTGATAACATCACTCAGAGGCTACTTGGAGTGAAAGAGAATAAAAAAGACTTTACAATGAACTGGAAATCCAATCCGAAACAAGGAATAAACCTCTACTCCTGTTCAAAAGACAGTAGAGAAGTGTGAATCAGATGATAGGTGAACCTATGGCAGAACAGTGGTAGGTTGGTTGGTTGATTTTTTAGAGGCATATCAACACCTCTATGGGTTATTTAATGCTGAAATCTAAATATTTTGAATGCAATAGTATGTCTTTAACTACAGATAAAATGTATTGTGGGCCATTTTACTATAAATATGTATTGTTGGTAGTTTTTTTTTTATAGAAAAAAGTGTTGCTGGTATAAAAAATATATTTTTATATTTTATAGTGTTTTGTTTGGGATTTTACTATTTTCCCATAGTTGGGACCCTAACAGGTATTACCAATTTAGATCAGGGTGGACCTGGGAAAAACATTAAGAATCTACAAAGCCTACAATTTCCTAATCAAAAGCCTTGCTGCCAGATGTAGTTTATCATCATACCCAGGATTAACAGTGGTAGAGAAAAGTTAACAAAGTTATGAGAGAGAGAGATGGTTAGAACAAGAGAGATGTAGAATAGGAAGCAGATAAAATTCTTGCAAGCCAGTTGGAAGATCTTTTCTTCATGAGAGAAGAGAAAAGAGAAGTGACACCTACTTACCAGACCCACCCTGGTGAATCCATCAATAAAGGAACCCAGAAGATTAAAAACAAGATTTATGTTTTCTTTTCTTCCCAAGACAATATCTTCTGATTCTCAGATCTGAAATCGTTCTTGTAGTCATGGTATTTCACCTCCCATTAATTTCTTAAAAACTACACCAGGCTTTTCCAGTTTTTGTTCACACTTACACAAATGAGAATCAAAACACATCATGAGGTGAAGCTGTCTGATCAGTGAAAGACCGACCATGTACACTACAGTTTAAAAGTTTGAAGCCACCCCCAGAATTAGCATGGGATGAAATTGACAGAAGAGTGAAACCTTTCCATCCAAAAAATGAAAAATAAAAGCTCTTAGAGTGATTAAGAAAAGAATGGAATCAATTATCAAACATATACTTTGAGAAATTTTTACAATGAATGCTAAAAATTTGTTCTGTAGTAATCAAGTCTAAAGAAGGATATTTTGATGAGAGTAAAATTTAATAATAAAATGATTTTTTTTTTTCATAGTAAAATTTCTTATAAAAAATCATGTCTCACTATTTTAAACCATGTATAATAATTTTCTCTAATTTAAAGTACAAAATTACTTTTTGGGTCAATTTAAAAAAATTACCAGGGGTTGCCTTAAACTTTTGAACTGTCACGTATGTTTACATAATTATTAACCCATGACATCAGTTATTGTCGATCTCATTTCTATGACTAATATCTGAAAACAGTACAAAAGATATTATTTAAATCTTGCATGTTGCCATCATCGTCTCTGATAGAGTTGTATATAGAAATATCAACAAAGAAATAAATGAGTTCAACACTTACAGTTGCTTGAGTCAAGTTGAATTTGATGACTGACTGAGTGGCAATAACAGGTTTGGCTGTTAAAAGCTGCAATCCAGCTGGAGCAATGACAGGGCACTTGGTGAGGACATGCTGATATTTCTTTTTAGATGAGACACCACCAACACAGTAGTCACCACCCACTTTCCGGTAACTGAATTTAAAAGGTTTAAGATATTGTGATATGAATGTGTATTTTGCATTAATAAGTGTATAGTGGCAGAACAATGAAAATTTAAAGACATAAACAATTGTATTAACATAAAATACAGTAAATGAAAAATCAGGATAGATGTCTCTAATATGAAAAAAAAGTGGAGTTGTAATGAGGCATATGGAAGGAGAGGGAGGATGAGTTGTAACTTACTAAGGCTATGGCTTTTGGTGAGCTGACCAAGTCTGACGTTGTTGGAGATGGAAGGTTGTTTTCTGATGAAGTGTGTGAACTCAGATCAAGATGCTGTTTAACTGCTGAATCTCCTTTCATGGGCTTTTATGTCCTTTTTTAGGCTCAAATTGGCTCCAGTTTTTATGTCATTTCTTTAGGTGGGAGAGGGTGCTGTTGGGTGGAAATTCTGAATTGTATTGCTTATTTTTTTTTTCTTTGAGCATGAGAGTAAAAATGGAAGATAGGTGTAGAGCTTTGCGCAGCTGACAGATTTTTAGTTCAGTTTTGGGTGTTCAGAGCAGCCACATCTGGTCAGCGGGGGAAATTAGTGTAGCATGAATCAGAAGATTTGATTTTAGGAAGAATGTAACAATATCAACTAAAGGGAAACAGAAAGTAATTTATCAGTTTATAAATGCTAATGAAATGTCATTGTAGAAAAGCCAAATGATACTAATAATGTCCAATAATTCTTACAGAGAATAAAAACAATGATTTGTTTAGTATTTAAATATTAAGTTGCCAAAACCTTCATCTGAATTTCTGGGATGAAGTTACCATTATTTACATTATTTATATCCAAGCTATTATCCTCATTTTTGTTGTTGTTATCATAATGTTTCGGCCGCTGTGCCCTCATGGTTTCTTCAGATGTTTGTCAATCTGTGTAACCTTCAGAGAATTTCAAATTGAATCCTTTATTTAATCCCCTGGGGTTGATTGTTCCTGTTCTGCTGTCTATGGTTAGGGGTATCTTCTCTTGATCTTAATTTAGTTCTGTTCAGTTAATGTTTGCCCTTTTTTCAATGAGTGACAATAGCCTCATGATTTAAAGCATTGGTTTGGGAATTTGGTAACAGAGAAATTGTGAGTTCAATTCCTGGGCTAAGTAGTGACAACTGTGGAAACAATGTGAGCAATAACTCAGCAGTATGAAATAAAAACAAGGTGAGATATACCTAGCCGTAGACAATCAGTCAGTTATGTACCATGTGTGATACACGCTTAGGCGATCATGTATCGAAAGATACATGACTTATGAGGTAGACTTTTTTTTTTTTTTTTTGCTTTGAGGATATTTTTTCAATACCTACAGTCAGTCACGTGCCATGCGTGATACACGTTTAGGTGATCATGTATCTTTCAATACCTGATTGATGAGGCAGATTTTTTTTCCCACAGTAGGTTGCCATTTCTTTCTGCGGTAGACCAGTTGGCATCCAAAGCTATAGAACCAGGTCTGTCCTGCTATTTACCCATAGTTGGGGGGAAGAAGAGGATTCATACTTTACACAAGTGTATTAGCACGTAAGTAAATTTCAGTCAGTTATGTGCCATGCATGATACACACTTAGGTTATCATGTATCTTTCAATACATGACTGACGAGGCAAATTTTTTTACCGCAGTAGGTTGCCATTTCTTTCTGCAGTAGACCAGTTGTCATCCAAGGCTATAGAACTTGGTCTGTTCTGCTATTTACCCATAGATGGGGGTAGAAGAAAAGGATGTATACCTTTCCCAAGGGTATTAGCACATTAGTGAATGTAATGGATTTGACTGGAATTCGAACTCAGCTCTCTGATTCCTCAAGCCGCTTTCCATTACTCCACTGTGCCTCTGCCATAAACAACAGAACAAGAACAATTGACCCTTGCAGATTAAATAAAGGGTTCAGTTTGAAATTCTCTGAAGGTTACCTAGATCAGCAAGCACCTGAAGAAGACAATAGCCAAAATGTTGTGATAATAACAACAAAGATGGTCCTCATAGTAAATAATCTAAATAAAAGTGTCCATTTATTCAATATCCAATACATACAAACTAATATGAAAAAAATGATCATTAAATTTTCCTCGATAATAATTTGTTTCTTAATGTTAGATTTGATGAATGAACATATTATACAATTCTCCAAGAAAAAGTAATCTCTTATTTTATAACTTATAAAACAAGAAACAAAATAATGCAGATTATTATCACAAAGCTTGCCAACTTCTGAATGACATTTCAAGATTGATAAAAAAAAAAAAAAAAAAGATTCAGTAAAAAGATTTTCATGTTCCTCAGACTGGATTGTGTTTTTTTTCTCAGAGAACATTGTATGAAAATATATATAAACTAAAACTCCTCAAATTAGGAGTAGTTAGCATGTATAACATTTAAATTTTTCAAAAAGATGTGTTTTGCAGTTTTTATTAATTTTTTAGAATATTGGAAATAATGGTAGCCATTTTGAACACCTTTTTGTTCAAATTCTTTTGAATCTATGTTTTACTTTTATTTAGTTATTTCTCTATAGATGCTATAAAATACATGAATTATATATTATGATTGTTTTGTTTTTATATCACTCTGAAAAATTTATACTATTTAGACTTAATTAAGGAGACATGAAAACATATATTACATTTGTGATGTTTTATTTTTGGTGAAAAAGTGTGGTTTTGAAATAAAATATCATTGTCATTATAAAAAATACATCAATATTCATTAAGTCAGTGATTCCTTATGTAAAAAATAAGACAAACCTTTAAGCTTGTGATGAATCTTTATTCAAAGCAATTCAACAACTGCACATATGTAAGGGTCGATCACTACTTTTTTATAGCAGAGTAGTTCAAGGGGGAGATAATTATGGTTGCCTTCATCACACCTTATTTCATAAATAATAGTTTATTTGACACAAGATCATATGTCTAGAGCAGTTAGTAAATACTGAACTGAAATCTAATAGCTCACAAAACCTGCATACTAACCACTGTATAACTAAATGCCATCTTTGTTTTGAAAATATAATAACTAACTTTGAATGCAAGTGGTTTATAAATCTTATCTTTTTAAAGAAGTGAAAATAGAAAGGAACATTTAAACTTACCCACGAGATTTATTAAAATGTTCATTCTCTGGACAATCAAAGACTGGACGGTCAACATCAAACCAGCTGGCAGGTTTGCATTTTTCTTCATTTGTTTGTTCATATCCAAAATCGCTAAAAAAATAATTAAAGTCAAAAATGGTATAACTAGACAGCATGGGACTAAGAGGATATTTTTAGAAAGTCTTCATATGGATAATTTGGATAAAAAAATCCTTCAATCTCTATGATATGAAGACATATTTTATGATTAAAGTCATATAGATTACATTATAATAATTCACAAATAAACTGGCAACTACTCTTGGAAAGGCCCTCCTATCAGGGCTTATGCTTTTGTATTTATGAAGGAGACATATTGAATTATTTTCTTAACTTACACTAGAAATCAACTAAGGGAGGTAATTGAGTAATGTAATCAATCTAACACTCACTCTAGTCAGTTACTTTATTATCATTTATCACTTTAGTCATTTCCTCCAGTGTTGAGAAGCCCAAATTGCCTGTGAGGAAATACAAGGTGTTGTTTCATTCAATCCTGACTTGTTTGACAGTTCTCCAAATACTGGACTTGATTTTATACGTGTGGCGATTGATTAATTAAATTTATTTTGTCTATGAAAAGAATTATTTTCAGTTGCTGGAAATATAGATACTTGAGAAGGAGTTTCTTTAGTTGATGTTTCCCTACACACTTCATCCACAAGCATTTGTATCAGAAAAGCAGCTAAGTAAAACTGGCAACTGCTCTCAAAAAGGACCCCCAATTAGTGGTTAATAGCAGCAAGGAATGTCTGATAAGTTTGTATGCCTTCAAAACAAAACTGCTTTCATTTAATCACCATAGAGAACCTTTTCTGCTGACCATCAGCATGGCTGATGCTAACCTCCAGGGAAGCAACTCTTTACACCTTCTTTGGCTCATGTTTTCCACTGTCATAAGGGATTATATTGAATCAATTGCTAGGTTTACTGCCAGGAAAGTTGATTCACTGTGTTGCACCAGAACATTTTTCTTGCCTGAATCCATCTTACACATTTATAAATGTATCATTTGTTTGTGTGTTGAATATTATTGTCATATATGGGCTCCTGCTACATATCTAGAGTTTCTTGACAAAATTTAAAGATGGGCCTGTAATGTAATCGATCCCAACCTGGCATCTTGAATTCTGTCACTTTCTCACTGACATAAAGTGATTTCCCTCTATCTTTTCTATAAATATTTTGATGACAATTGTTCTGATGAGCTTTTCTCCTTGGTGCCTCAACTGCATGAATTTAAGCATGTTACTAGATTGGCAGCTAGGTCTCACAGTTTTACTGTTGATGTAGCGAGATGTAACCATATGTTTTATCATAATAGTTTCCTTTCTCGCACTGTGAACTCCATTCCAATTACCATCTACAATCTTCTGTTTTCCTCAATCCTGTTTTTATTGCCCTATCTCATCACTAAAGTTTTGTCATTCTCTTTCACTCCTAGTAACCACTTGTGTCTTAGTAGCATTATCACCTTACTTGGGGGAAATAATTTAAAAGAAGAAAAAGTGGTATCATTAATAGAAATGCACTGTATAACATAAACATTTATAATAGTATTCAGATAATGATTATGCAATATCTTGATTCTCTTATTCAATTTAAAAAAAAATTGCTTTTGATTTAAATTATGAATTTAAAGTGTAGAAATTTACTATTTCAAACTACAACAATCCATTAGATTAAATTTCAATTCTTCTTATTAACAATATGTAGATATTTTTCTTTCAAATAATAAATCTATAATATTTTTCTAGTTTATTCTCAGTTCTTTTCACAGTCGTTCTGGACATGATAATAAACTTATCATTTGCGGTATTTGTCATTCTGACTTGTTCACCAATAAAGTATAAAAGTACAATACAGAAATAGTCAATGTAATGTAATTAATTCTTTTCATATAACTTACAACTAGATTTTTTGGTCAAATATTTTGAATTTATAATTTTAAAAGAAGCAATCTTTGGCAACTGAAAATGTTTTAGCAATGCGTATCTGCATGAATCATTTATTTTTAGAAAAACACAATAAAAAAAAAAAAACGAAAAAAATGATAACCTTATCAGAAAAGCCGGAACTGAAGCTTAAATATAAATCAATTCTCAAAAGTAATCAAAATAAATGCCAAATGCAAATTTGATTTTCATGTATTTAAAATACTGCAAAAATATCAAAGGTGAAAAATATATTTGCAAATGCATCAAAAGAAAATTCTTATTTTGTATCCGAGATTTAAATATAGAAAAAAACAAAACAAACTGAAAACAAGCCTGTAATTTAGAATTCATTAACAATAAGACTTTAAACTTTAAAGGAATTTAGTTTCAGAGAATACTGACTTTGTTATTCAACAAAAGAAAGCTAAATAAAAAGAGAAAAAAAATCAAAATCAACCAACTTTTTTCATTTCAAATTATGCTGCTGCCTTAAATCTAACAATATTCAAAGATGTAGTCAGTAAAAAAAAAAAACATATAAGAATTTTAAACATCAAAGAAAAAAGTTAACAGTTCTTCCTCACCATTCAAAATCTTCTGCTGTACACTGGCAAATGGAAATGTTGATTGGTCGTTCATAGTCACGCCCATTGTTACATTCAGAGAACTGCTTCTTTCGTTCAAAAGTTAACTTTCTACCAAGAATGCAGCCATTTGTAATCTAAGGATCAAAACAAAAATGAATATAATAGATACAAAAGAGAATTTGGGAGGAATTTATAAACCAAATGAAGCAGTACGGCAAATTGGCTTAAAATGATTCTGATTTAAAATCAGTGGTTGTCAGTTAGCAAAAGCGAAAAACATCCTGAAATGTGGGGAAAAAAAGTTTCTTTTTTTCATCAGTGCTTTTCTTTTGTTGACTGTTTATTTTGGCTTAAGACAGCTCCTATTACTCTTTTTGCAATCATAACTCTCCACAATTTCCTGTCCTTTGGAGGTCTTAGCAATGTTTGTCTTTTTGCTATCTCTCTTAAACCCTTTTCAGCCAATCATTTATATAAGTTTGTTATGTAGGTTATGTGTTGTTCTTTTTTGACTCTGTTGCCTATAAAATGTCTTGTAAGTGTTAAATTTTCCAAGCACACTTTATTATGGGCACTAGAAATGTCAACAATCTCTTTTCGATTCTAAATATAAGTGCCCTCTTTGTTTCCATTTTCTCTAAAACTTTGCCATTACTCACATGTTCAGCCAATCATATCCTTCAGTAAAATCACATTTCTATTGCTTCAAGTGTCTTATTCATCTTTGTCCAGCATTTACTGCCCTTTAGGAAGACAGATATTATGTAACAGTTCAGTACTCTTTTCATTGTTTCTAAGGAAATTTTCTTGTTTTTTAATACTTTGTATAATCTTTGGAAGGCATCTTTTGCTATTCCAATGTGCCTTCAGATTTCAATGTAACATTTCTCATCCTGTAATGCATAGTGTGGTATTATTTCCCTTGATGGTAATACATTGAGATCCCTTAAAGTCCCAATATTCTTTCTAAATTTCTGCTTCCCAGGAAGACGATAAGAGATTCAAAAGTAATTAGTTTATATAATTTACTTGATATGATAGCAGGATTAAAAAATGAAAGAGAAGTTTACCTTTTTCTTCTTATTTTATTAGATGTGTGAAAGCATTTCTAGGAAAAACTAACCTTCAACTGTGTAATAGTTTTCAGATTTAACGAAAGACAAATATCTATAGCTATGCTTTTTTTTAAAAGTGATAGCATCAAAAGATAAATAACTGAAGAAAGAATGAATGTAAAACTCAAATCCTTGAAATTAGAGACATCATTTGATGTTGAAGAAGCCAAAGTATTTTTTTTTTTTGCAACAAATCAGATAAATATTACTCCTGTCTCAATAGTAAGTCTGATCAGTTTGATAAGGTCAAAATGGCAGCTGATATCCAAAATGACCTTCAATCTCTAGTTAACTGGGACAAAGGATAGCTTGTTAATTTTAATGCCGCCAAAACTAAACTGTTCTCTACTAATGATCTAAGAGTATCCTCTCTGCCTTCCATCAGCATGGCTGATGCTGACCCCCAGGAGAGTGACTCATTGCACCTTCTCTGGCTAATGTTCTTGGCTGACATGAAGTGGAAAGATTATATTAAATCTATTGCTAGATCAGCTGGTTCACTGTATTGTACGAGGCAATTTTTCTCTCCTGAATCTACCTTACATATCTATGAGTCTACCATTCATCCATGCTTAGAATATTGCTGCCACATATGGTCCGGTGCTCCTGCTATTTATTTAGAACTTCTTGATAAAATCCAAAGAAGAATCAGCAATGTTATTAACCTGGATCTGACATCTCAGCTTCAGTTACTTTCACACCGCCGTAAGGTTGTCATCCTGTACCTATCTTTTTAATAAATACTTTCATGGTAATTGTTCAGATGAGCTCTTTGCTATGGTACCTAGAGTCTTTGAATTTAAGTGCAGAATCAGACTGGCAATGAGATCTCACCAATTTACAGGTGAGTAGTTGTAACTGTAAATTCTATGCGAACAGTTTATTTTCCCACATTTCTTGCTTGTGTAACTTCTTTCTAACTCCATGTTTTCCAGCAAAATTTAATCTGCAAAAATTTAAATGCAATATCAATTGCTATCTACTGTTCTTTTGATTACTCTTCTTTAGTTCTCTTTCCTGTTTCTAACTTTTCCACACCTAGTAACCCCTTGTGTCTCAGTGGCTTTACTGCCTTGTTTGGGGTGGACTTTATTAAAAAAAATGGACACAAAATCAGAACAGATTGTTATTCTACATTTTCTTTTAAAATATTATAATTTGCTTTAAATTGGATCTCTTTCAGTTTTATTCCACATCAAAACTAGTCATCTAGATATGAACTCTATGAAAGCCTCTGAGAATCACATCCAGCTCACAAAACAAACCCCTATGAAAGATATAAAATAAAATTTAAAAGGAGCCAATAACAAACATTTCTGCCAAAGCAAAAGCATGACAAAAAATGCTGAGTCATGTATTCATCCTAATTGCTTAAAAGGACCCACTTGCAACATTCAAGCATGTAGGTAACTAGTCACTGACACAATCAGTGACCTCTTAGTCAAGTAAGCTTTAATGCCAGATACTACCAACTCCCCAATCCTTCATTTTGCTTCCTTCACCTACTGAGAGACATTCCACCTTGATCCTTTTATATCAGAAATATAAGAATTTTATTTTAACATAACTTGTCTCTTTTTCTTTCTACCTTGGCACATCATAAAGGGGCACAAACATTTTCCTTTAACCAGTAGAAAATAAATAAAAAGTGCTATTGAAAGTGTTTTTCCTAGAAGTAATACCTTCTAAAAGCTAAGCAAAGTATTAAGAAACTGAAAAATTTCACTAGAAACAAAGAAAATAGTACTGAACTGTTATGTAATATCAGTCCTCCTATATGGCTATGAATACTGAACAATCTCCTCACAGGTGAAGAAGAGACTTGAAGCAACAGAAATGTGGTTACACAGAAGGATGCTGAAATACCATGGACTGAACATGTGAACAACGACAAAGTTTTAGAGAAAATAGAAACAAAATTGACATTTATACTTAACATCAGAATAAGATAGCTGAAATTTCTAAGGCACATAATGCCTTGGAAAATTTGATACCCACAAGGCATATTGAAAGCAAGAGATCTACATGAAAACAATGCAACCTAGTGAGCTTAAATAAATTGATGGCAGAACAGGGTTTAGGAGAGATAACAAAAAGGTAAAATTTATTAAGAACTACAAAGGACAAGAAATTGTGGAGAGCCATGATTGCCAAAGTCCCGAAAAGACACAGAAGAGAATCTGCAACACATTTTGATTGTAAATTTTTTGCTCATCATCAAGTAAGTTTTTGTTTTGAGAGTGGATCAATCTGTTAGAACTGAATTTTAATATGAAATTTCCACTGTATTACGATTGATTGTTTAATGGCATATCATCTCCTTATGGGTCATTTAATGCTGAAATTTAATTTACTAGGGAGATTTGAAGTAATAAAAATATATATTATTCTGCTTTCACAATTGAATACATGGTAGATGATACTCAGTTTTTGTGTATATGATTACAATAGATGGTGTTATGTGTTTTATGTTGTAGTTTTGTTGAAGTTATATTTTGGAATACAGTTTGATTTCTTTAAGAAATTGTAGGATTTTATATGGATTAATATCATGACATTGATTTTTCATGTTGTTTGTTTGGTTGATTTTCTTTAGCGGCATATCAACCTCCATGGGTTATTTAATGCCAAAATCTGAATATTTTGAACATAGTTTTATGGCTACAAACTACGGATAATATATATTGTTGATAATGTTACTATAAATATGTATTACTGGTAATTTTAGTATAAAAATGTATTTTATACATAGTGATGTATTTTTGTGGTGGTGGTGGGGGGGTCGTTGTTTGCCCAGAGCTGGGACCCTAACTGGTGCTACCACCCCGGGTCATGGTAGACCAGGGAACAACAGCAATTAAGAGGTGGTTCTATGCTCCTCAAAACCTTTATTTCCATGATCAGAGGCCTTGCTGCCAGATGTAGTTTATTGTCATATGATGATTAAACTAATCTCTTCTTGTCTTTAATTCCTTATTTTTACCTTTTTTGTCACTGAAATGATTTTACTAAACAAAAGTGGAATACAAATCTCTTGACCAGAAGTCTTCCTATTTGATGTTGTTTATGTTCATACCCAGGACTACACTGTATAAAGTTTAATCAATATGATTAATGAAGAAGTGTTAGATTAAGTGCAAGGACAAAGAAGAAGATTATGTGGAAAAATGTTTATTTTAATACTATTGTTCACCCAATATAAGGTGCAAGAGACAATCAAGGTAGAGGGATACTGAATGAAGTTGTTCTAAGTGCGTAAAAGGAGGACATAAAAAGTGTATATTATGAGGATATGTGCAATAGATAGCAGTTGAATCTAAACTTGAAGAGGTTAAGAATTATAGAAGTTGCATCCCATAAAGAATGTATTTTGGTTGCTGAAAACTGTTATTTATGATTAAATAAACAACAAAGAAAACATAGCACAGACATAAAAAAAAAACAAAAAAAAACATCCATTCGCAGTTACAAAACAACCCTCAACTGATCATAAATGCAATGAGTTGATGATTACCTTTTATTAAAGGAAATGTTTTTGTCCTTGTGAAATCAAGAAAACATTAGCTCTTGTCTGGCAATCTGAAGTTTATTTTTCAACACAATAGCAATGAAATACTGTCAGCCAAACTAAAAATACTAATAATGTTCCCTGATTGGATAAGAAACAGCAACTGATATTTTTCTTGTAAACACCTGATAAGTAATTTGTCTGAGATCATGAGATAGACAATAAAGTCAATTCAATACCTATTCAGGTACAGATACATTTGTAATTTTATGCTTATGAATTTTAATGAAACTCACACAAAAAATGGTTTATCATTGAGTTAATTGTTTGCAACACACAAATTGGTATTAATAAGTAATTTATAGACATGTTGGAAAAGCAATTAAGAATAAGGCACTTAGTCTACAGCAATATTTTTTTTTATTTATTCTTCTTCTTGAATGTTGGTGATCATAAGTCTCCACAATTTCCTGTCCTTTGTAGCTCTTAGTAAATTTTGTCTGCTTATTAA